AATCAATCCCTGGTGTTGGTAGGTTGGGGATTCGACTCCAAAGACTCAGAATACGTTGAATCGAATAATTTGAAAGTATGAGTCAGTCAATGGAGAAGGGGAGTGAGTCAGGAAACCTCAAGATCTCAAGGGGAAACGCGTCAGGACACCTAGACTGGAAACAAGCGGCAGGGGAGGGAGTGCGGAAAGACTGATAATTTGAAAGTATGAGTCAATCAAAGGAGAAGAGGAGTGAGCCAGGAAGCCTCATAGGGAAACGAGTCACGAACCCTCAGTTTCTGGAATCTTTTGGTATGTCGATACGTCCACAAACAAGGGATCCGGCAATCCGGCATTCCCAATTTGTCGTCCATTCTGTTTACTTAGGAGAGTCAGGAGTCTACCCAAGTGTGGGTCGAAACTCAAGGCTGACGCCGTAAGTGTCAATGCTCGAAGCCGTAAGTGATCTTGGGGACGGTTTCGAGTCTGATCTGCCAAAAACGTGGTGGGGAGGCACGGCTGCAAGTGAATATGCGGCCATCTTTTTGTTTGGGTAAACATTGACGAAGTGGTTCTAAGTCGTCTTCTCCCGTGTGTTTGATGTGCCGGGTTGCTTTGTCCTTGCATCCTCGTGGACACTGCTTTACTTGAAACAATCTCCGCAAAATCTTCGACAAGTTCAGTTGCATAACTTCACTAGGCCAGGATTCTTCTTTGCTACCGAACACGCCAATTTGCAACCTAAACTAGCGTGGACGGATTGGTGTTTAAAACACTGACTGACCGACTGGCCTTTATCAGACCTGCTGACAAGGGCCATGACAGTAGTGTTTGCGTGCTTAAATGACGTCGATGACCAATATTCTTGTTGTAAGCGTGTGGGATTGTAGCAATGGTATCCTGCAGTCACAGCACCATTCTGGTCATCTTGAGACCTTGAATGGACCCCCGTACGATGGAAGAATGCACCCTCTGTGCCGATCCGCTATTTTCGCAGGGAAGCCTTTTCCTGGACACCTTCATATGGTGTACGGATGTGTACAGTGTACCTGTGTTTCCATGATTTTCCAACTGAAGTCAAGTGGAAAAAACTCAATGAAAAAGCAGATCCAAAGCGTTGCTTCGACATGTCAGCTGCAGCTCAGCTCCGCTGCGACTGGTCGCACCGATTTCGGGTTTGCTCAGGAAGCTTTGCCCCAGTCCTCGTCCCGAGCTCGTGGGTCCGGGTTACTCATACGACTTCATGACCGACACCTGGAGTTGTGCTCCACAGCACACGGGACAAGCGGCCGGGATGCCTGGACAACGGACCGAAGTCTCCCTTTCGAGCGAAGAAACCAGTGATCCTGGCATTTTGTTGCTATTGTGGCGCTCTACTTGAAGGTACGGAGGAGGTTGTGCCCGATTTTGACCGAACTTAGGTTTCACCAATGAGGTGTTTCACTCACCATTGATGTGTTCTTTGGGCGAGCTTCTCACTGTGAAGAACGGCTTCGTCTCAGGTGAAGCTGTGCGAGATCGATGAGTCTTGTCAGCGCAGCGTGGTCATGAGTGGATGTCTTCTGCTGGAGCCGTGCCGGCCACCTGAGCTGGACCCTTGCAGGCGATTCCCTGGGATATTTTTGGGATCTTCCAGATTTCGATCTCGATGTTGGCGAGCTGGGTGAAGGGCGAAGCAAACCATAGCAAACCAATCTTCACACCCCGAAAGTCTACCTGTCTTCATGCCAACTTCCTTAAAACCCTCAAGCACATGTCGTGCCACATTATAAACATGAAAAGCGTCAGGTTGTTTGGTGTCTTTCACTACCCCTAAGAATGTATCAAACAAAACCATTTACCGTGCTGTCAAAGATCGCCTGCAATCCTTTGATTCAACTCCCTCACGTCAGCGTGCCTTTCAAACACCGCTGCGTCGTTAGCAGGTACGACTGGTCCAGCTGCGGAGATCTCGCAGCTGGGACGAAGTGTGCCATTACCTGTCGGCCACCCTACGAAGGCCGGGGTCGTTGTGGTCGTTGTTTGTGGTGTAAACTGCAGTGGCGAAGAATAGAACACAGCAAGAGAGAAGCAAAGAAAGATGTAGAGCTTTCTTTGACAAGGCCAAGCTAAACTGGATCATGGTGTGTGCCAATCCCAACTGAGAATGCTATCTCTGTTTGAAGGATTCCAGTCGACATGCCTGGCTAAACATGATTGTCCAATTCTACTTGGCTTTCCTCAAAAAGGTGCGCACTGTCATAGTTGAACCTTTGCCACTAGAACACTTCCGTCTGGTACTTTCTTTTGCTCCAGAAGTGGAAGAATGGTCCCGTGAAAGAGCCATTCTGGAGGTTTGCTCATGTTTGCTCTGTTTCTTCGGGAGAGTCGGTTTTTGTTTGCAACGCCGGCCTAAGCTCTGGCCTTAACAGCCCTCGAGAGCCCAGGCGAGAGCTTTCCCAGCGAGTGCCCCAGCAACAACTCCAACCGCAGCACGTCTCTGCAGCTTCCGGTCTGCAGATGGAGATTCGACCACTGCCCCAGCGGTTGGGAGGGATGAAATCCATCCATGTCAGAAGGGTTTGTCGGTTTGTCTCAAAACATGAGGGACTCTCCAACGAATAGGTTGATTGTCTCTGAGGGTCTGTATTTGATGATCGCAATGATCCAGAAGACGAACAGAACCGGCAAGTTATCCCAAACGCCAGTGATGTACTGTCCTGTTTGAACCAGTCTAGAGATTTTTCAGCCTTTTTGGGAGGTTCAGGCCAGCTTAGGCTTCTTGTTCAGATCAGAGTGTCTTGCGCCATACATGAACACTTTGTGCAGGAAAATGAACTCCCTCACGGGCAAAGGTTCCCACTCGGATCCTTCTCTGTTCATTTTCTACTTTTGAACGAAACAATGTTGCTTTCGCATCGCGGAGTGATCAGCAACACTTTGTATGGGGAAGCTCCCATTAGAGTGAAGGGGAGACAGATCGACGTTCACTACTTCGACATCTTTGGTGTTTCACTATGTCCTGCACCAGCTTGTTCACCAGTTGAAAACTAGATGGAACAGATTTCGACCCCTAGTAACAAGGAACGCTACTAGGAACAACGGGCATCGCTACGAACGGAGCAAGGACGCTACTAGGAGGTCTTGTTCTTCTACTAGTAACTATAGATGCATCCTTGCAAATGGTTTCTCTGGTGCTCTCGTTTCACCTGTAGTAACAAGGATGCCTTCTCCGGTCGCCCTCACCTCCATCGTGCGTGGGCGGTCGACGAGTCGACGTCGTGGGCGGTCGAGGTTCGAAATTCCCTGGTGTGCCTTGCTCTGCCACGCGGCGTAACCGACGGTCGCTCCGCTCTCACCGGCCGGTGAAATCGGGGTGGGTCAAACGCGGTTAGATGGTGAGGATCTGTAAGGAAACACCGAAACGGCCAAGATCTTTGGATCACCTTTGGGCAACTGATACCACTCTTGGCTTTCTATCAAGAGTTCGGTGTTTCCTTTAACTCCATCGAAATCCATTGCATGGACTGCCCATAATATGTGGATTCCTTTTGAATGAACGACCTCGGATCCCCAACGATGCTTGCCGCTCACGATGCGCTACCGGAACAACCACTCTTCTCACGCTTCGTCCGCACCTCGCTCTGGAGCGAGGTCACTCCGCACGTTCCGAGGCCCTGACCCCATTCCCTTGCCGGCGGGATATATCAGGCTTGGAGGGTCTAACCCATCGACAGCGAGGCTTTTCCCAGAGCGACGTGCGCACATTGTCCTGCGCACGTGCGCACATTCGTCGTGGGTGGATTTCCTTTGGCAAAAGGAATCTGTTCAAAGGACTAAGGGCCGACGAGACTCGGTCAATTGCATGAAGGCACCCTTGCTGTGAGAGTTATTAGACCAAACGCGCCACATGCTACTTTAGACATCCAGAAGCAGCATTTCGAGCGAAGATGTTAAACGTCCAAATTTTCCTAATCCGAACGAGATCTCCTAGTAGGGTTGGTCATCGTGGAATGGACGATAGTGGAGGACGAGCTCCAGGAACGCAAAAGATAAGAAAACGCGCGGTGACTGTGCAACGACTCGTTGCTAGGGGTTTACTTGACAACATGTTCCGCCTGGAGCTCTACTATTGTTTGGAAAGAAGTGGATAATCCAGTCTTTCAGACATCTCCTGTTGGATCCCCCCTATTTGGCCATGTCCAGCTGTTCATCCTTGGTAGGCAGGGTGGAAGCTACAAGTGTGACAACGGCTACACAGGCGGGAAGGGTTCTCCTGGAAGGGACCTGCCTTGCCCCAAGAACCCATGAGCCTCAATTGGCCTTGCCCCAAGGCCTACCTTTTTGGTGTCGCACAGTGAACCCTTGCTACTAGGGAATCCTGGCATCACTACTAGGAGCAAGGATGCTACGAACGGGGCTCCTGGCCGTACTACGAACGTAACACCATTTCAGTGTTCGTTTCGCTTCCCAGCTTCCCGTTCCGGAAGCGTTCGAATGGATCGTGGGAAACACACCGATCGAAGAGGGGCGGAAGGACATGGAGAACCACAGCATGGACATGCAGAAAAGGCGGTTCTTCCAGTGGTTTGTTCACGTTTTTTTCCACTGAAGAAGTGAGGATCCATCCGGAGCAACGCCAAACTTTCAGTGAAATGTCACATTTCCGTATGGCTGAACATTCAGATTTTTTGGCGGGCGAAGAACAAGAACAACGATGCCATGCACGTGAAGGCTTGGTGTTGGTTGCGCCTCGGTTGTACTCTAGCTCATCCTCAAGATCACCTTCGGGTATTTCAATTTTCCGCGAGGCTTTACCGAGCGAAGCTGCACCCTGAACGCAGATTGCAGCCATGAGGCGGCAGCTGTTTTGGGTTAAAGTTAAAACTCAGGCTGAGGTCAGTATTGTCAGGATGGATACTGTTGCGCAGCTGGTCTTTGGTTTGGGTTTCTTTTTTCATGTCATTGAAGTTGGATGTTTGCTACATGAGACATGCTTGCCACAACTTTTGGTCACATGCCATTTGTCCACTGGCCCAAACAGCACCTACTGTCGCCCCTTGCGACAGAAGACGGCAGGGACGAATTCTTGCATCAGTGTCTTGTCTCGGTAGACGTCATGGCCCGCAGTGGTCTCAATGTGCTCCCTGTGTTGCTCTTGGCGCTGGGCGCATGGATGAGCTCCAACTGCTTCGCCAACTCTCCCAGCCCGCGGGCAACAAGCCGAATGGCCATGCAGGGCTTCAAAGATGACTTCTATGCTTGGAAGGACACCCTGAGCAAGGAGGATCAGGCGCTCCTGCTGAAGCAGGCACAGAATGAGTTCAACAAGAAGTTCCGTGCCACCGACGACTTCAAGACGAGCATCTCTGAGGACAAGATTGAGTCCTTCGGCAAGGTTTTGCAGAAATTCTTCGACAACGAGAAGGAAGACTACAAGAAGGATGTTGAGAAGAGGACTGCAGTGACTGAGGCCTCACCCAGCACTCACCTTTTTCTTTACTGCAGTTTCGTTGAGTGTTGAGAATTTATACACATGCATTTATATATATACTGCCTCATCTATCTCTTGTTCCATTTTCTTGAACCGAATTGTTCAACGCCCTGTTCCATCAACAAACCAGGACCCCGGACTACGACTATTTGCAGAGCAAGGCCAAGCAGGTGGCCTATGACTTCAGCCTCACCAATGCCATCGTGCCGGTGGACCGCGACGGCGACCGTCGTTGGGCCTCGATGGTGATGAAGCGCCGCGTAGCCGAGGCGGAGGGCAAGGAGTTCCCGGATGCCGCCGTGGTGACAGGGGAATATCTCTGGGCGAATCTTGGGCTGGCCGAAAAGGCGTACTCTTTAGAATCTCTTGAATATTTGCTTGGGTTTATATATAGAAGGGAAGGATTCTTGTTGGGTTTACAAGGGATTTCTTCCTAAATAGCCAAGGAACGAGGGGCAGGACCACACGGACAATGTGAAGTTGTTGGAGATGGCCAAGGCACATGCCACCAATCCGGAGATAAAGAAGGCTTTGGATGAGTTCGAGATTCCAGCCGATGGCGAAGATTTCATGATCCAATTGCCTCGCAAGATTGTGCAGTTGCTCAGCCAGGCCGGTGGAAAGCTCCAGGCCCAGGTCGAGGCTTACAGGGCGGACCACAGCGAGTCTGAAGTCGAGGCCTATGCCAAGAGCCTGGAGGAGGAATGGGTGAAGACTGCGGAAGACATCTCCAAAACGTACATTTTGGCGCAAGACGAGATTGAGACCGAAATGCAGAAGATGAAGAAGTTCTTCGGATCCCAGAAGAACATGGCAGGCAAGACCAAGGCGGACATCTTGAAGGGGATTTGGAAGTTGCTGCCCAAGTACTCCGACGGGCCTGTGGAGCCTTTGGATGAGGAGATGCTCAGCGAGTTGGCGAAGGTGCCAGCGGTCATCGAGGGCGAGTTCAATCATAGTTGGGGTACCGCAGACACGCTCTACAAGTCGGAGGCCATTGATTCCTTTGGCAGCAAGTACTTGTTGGGCATCTTTGAGAAGAGGGAAGATGCCGAGAAAGCCTTCGATGCTTGGAACAAGGAGTACACTCAGGCCGGCCAGGATGTGAAGGAGAACTTGAAGAGTTGGGCCAAGGGTCAGGAGGCTGAGTTGGCTGAGGAGCAGGATTCCGTGGATCGCATCCGTAAGGCCCTCGAGGAAGCACAGCGCTAGAGACTTGCTCCATGAACCCCCTAACAACGGGGAATGTATGACATGGTCTTACGACCGGAGGCCAGTGGTTTTTACGCGTTTTCCTGGACGCTGCCGCAGGGCAGGCTGTTTTTAGCGCAGAAGCTAGGAAAAAAGGAGCCATGGTTGTGACGCAGTCTTAGGGCAGAAGTGCAAGAAAGAAGTGCTCAGGTTCGGTGGCAAGGGGAATAGAATAACAACATCTCCGTTGCCAACCTGTATTTGATCATATTCTATCCACTTTGAGGATGACTATAGCCATGCTTGAGTATTGAACAATGCCTCAGCACGATACACTATCTCGTGGGGTCCATGTTGGGCTGCTGAACGTAGCTCATCTGCTGAACGTAGCTGCTTCGGTTTGATCTGAAGAGAAGATCACTTCAGAAGTGATTCTTCGTGAGCTAGCGAGAAGCTGGAGGGACGACTGGAGGTGGTAGGGCATGGAGCTCCGTCCTGCGCCCGAAAAACAGGTGACCTTTCGCGGCTGCGACCGGCTGGTGCCGTGCAAGGTCCGACCGACCGGTGTGGTGGGGCGGTTAACGGGGGGCCGGCTTTGGGTCGTTCTGGGTGCAACTCCAACTGGGACTGAGTTGGAGTTGATCTCCCCATCGTCTGGAACAAGTCTCTTGGTACTGATATGTACTGATCTTAGATCTCGAACTTTCGGACAGGGGAAAAGTCCATTTCCTTCCTGGTGCACTGTATCTGCGGCCAATGGACGATGCACTGGCTGAACCTGCGCTTCTATCCGCTTCACACATCTTACACTAGACTGGGCGGCCGTCTTCGGGCGTCTTGTGCGGAAGACATCAGATATTTGTTACTCCAACCGCCATTGGTCTAGCCAGAAGCCAGCGATGCACCAAATTAAGTCACAGGATGGTAATCGGCGCCCATCCGCACTCCATCCGCCGCAACACACAGCTCAGCAAACTGTAATGTACAAACTGCTCAGGCGCATCCTCAAGACACTAAGACGTCAGTCTCAGAATAACGATTGTTCGACAGACGAGCTCATTCTGTCGACCCCTTGCAGGCACTGCCACCACCCCCTGACTGGCCGGAGCCAGGGAACAGGCGCAGCCCGGATGGCAGAAGATAGAGTCTATGTGGGTCTACCGGTCTACCATGAGTTGTCCATGGAGATGCCTTCAGATGTTCATGATGTCTGTGGATCAATGTCCGGTTCCACTGAACCTTCGGAGAATGGAGGCGTCCACTGAGGAAGTGACCCAAGTCTCCTTGACAGAGCTTAAAAGTGAACACATGATCCACTGCAAGAAGAGTGTGCCACGCTACAGAGATATAGATATTCGAGGCTCCATCTTTGTATCAGAAGCCGGTGTTCGCATCGAATCCATGTTTGCCAGGTATCGACTAAAAACTCCTGGTGGGGACTTGCAAGTCGGGACTTGCACACTCAGTCCTTGCTTGCCCCACTTGATGATCAGGAATCCTTTGTACAGTTCCTTTCCTGTAGATTCTTTAGTCCCCACGGAGGCTCAGAACGGGGATGTTCACAAGAGGATGACAGCGGATTACATGCCTGTTCTTGCTCTATAGTCTATAGTTAGTTGTTCTGGCTGGCCCACTTGGGAAGAAGAAGCACAGTTTGCCTGCCGGGCTCCGGCAGATGTGAGCTGGACCTGGCCAGCTGCCAGCGGAGCGTTCCACTGGGAGGCTCCTGTGAGGCGTGTTCAGCTTGGCTGAGCTTTGTCAATTTGTTTGTTCAGATGTCTAGGATTCATCCAGGGGCTCAAGATGAGCTGAAGGAGACATCAGTTGGAGGAAGGAGACATGATTCCAGGAGAGGTTGCCTGGAGTATGGTGGAGTCACTTTTCACTGGATTCTCCTTTGGCTGTCCAGTTCGTAGGAGCTAAAACTGGACGGTGCAGTCCTGTGGTCCTGTGGTCCTGGGCGCCTGCCTCTCCCGACGCGCTAGGCTCGCTGCCGGGCGCCCTATGTGGGCCCGCCAAGCACCAGCAGCTGCCCCTCCAGGAATACCAACCCCAACGCGTCGCTTGGCCAAGATTGGGTGTGTTCAGGAGCACAGGCCTCCACCTAGTAGCTTCTTGTTACTAGTAGGAATGGCCTCCACCCTAATAGCGATGGCCTCCACCTTTGTCAGTGAGTTTCCTTGATCCGGGCTGTGGGTGGATGGTCGCTTCGAGCCAAGGATGGTGGATTTCCAAAGCCCTTTTTGCCACGTGCCTGACTGTGGGACGTCCCAGCTTGGCAACCAGCGAAGTCTGGAGTTTTGCATGTCTTTGTGAGATGAACACTCAGCTACTGTATTTTATGTTTTTGATTTAGGCAATCTCTGTGATTCTCTCCTTGGAAGATGCATGTCTCGCAGGGACTGCACAGCATCGAGTAGGAATGCAGAAAGGACATTTATTGGGCCGGTTTTGGCATGAGGACGGAGGTCCCGCCCCTACGAAAGAGGCGCCCTCGAAAGATCCGTTCGTTGTGGGCTTTGATCGCTGGGTTCTGCACCGAAGACACACATGGGCCTCATTCTGTGTTTCCTCACTCCGAGGGTCCCCCTGGATCGGAACGGGCTTGGCCATGAAGACCCAGGTCCCGAGCCCATTCCTGCGGGCTATGCCAAGACCAGTCATGGCTACCGCTGTGCGCCGGGCTTTGGCGGGACGGCAGGGGATCCGAGCGATAGGGCTTGGGGGGATGGTGAAGAGACAAGCTGCCCAGGCATCTGTTTTAAGAGAGGCTTTGAGGTGCAAGAAACTGGTTTTTGTTTCTTTTAACAGATTTGGACCGATTGTTGTGTTCTCAGTAGTTCTCGTTGCTTTTTTCGCATCCTTGTTTCGATTGGGTCCTTGGTTGAGTTGTCGAACGAAGCACAGAAAAACATTCAAGGCTTGGCGTGTGTCACCATTGATAGAGCTGGGAGCAAGTGTTGGCAAAATGGCACATGTTCCTGGACTATGAGCATTGTTGTCCAACATATTGGGTTAAGATGTACAAACCTGTACTACCGAACGACCCGCATTGAAGGACTGCCTTGGTGCAATCAACAAACCTCCAAAATGGGTGGGTCGATGCTCAGGTCCTAAGCAGCTGCACAACTTGCGGGAGGCGCCAGCCGGTTGGTGGATGGTTCGAACCGTCGAGGAGAGTCTTTCGCAACGCTCGGTGTGGCAAGACACACTGGGAGGAGCCTCCTTTTTTCACTTGGATTGGATTGGTGGTCGGTGCTCAACAAGAAAACGGCGGGGGGGGGGTAGTTCGGGTAGTTAGAAAGGGATCCTTCTGGAAATCCAATTTTCAGTGCGATCGGAACGTGAGGCTAGTGCTGACCGGCTGCTACACAGCCATCCCCTGCAAGTCCTTGGAAGTGGAGGAGAGTCGGCAACGGTGGGCATAGGGTGAAGTTGGAAAACCACAGAACAGTGGCGGCCTGGTAAGAGAGACCATTTTTGTATTACTCCTTGTTGTTTATGTTCCTTTTCTCTTTGGTGTTCTTTTTTTCTCTAGGGACCTTTAAACTTTAGACCTTTCTTTTTCCCTTCCTTTCTTCCTTCCCACGCTAACCCGACAACTCCCTGCAGAGCACGATGATTGCGCGCGTTTTCCAGGACGGTTGCCAAATCGAAGTTACAGGTCATTTGGGATTTGAGCGTCATCCCACGCAACATCCCAGAGATGGCTCTTACATGAACTTTTTCTCCAGAGATATGAGAGATGTGTTAAGAGTGCTTTCACGCCCCACGGGCCTTGATATCAGCTCAAGATCTCGGCAGCTGATCTCACGTAGCCTTTCCAACCCATCCAAGAAGCACGGATGGAGAACCATGGGGATCCATAGTCAGTCCATAGCATCCAAAGCCTTTTGGGGGGAAACGACAGGTGAATTCGACTTTCCAAGATGAATCTTCCAGGCTTGTTCACAGAGGTTTCTTCTACAGGAAAATGACATTATCAGGAGGAGAATGGAATCCCCCCGTACCCACATGGAGGTTTTCACCGGGTCTAATTTGGATATATGATGATATATGAATTTTTGACTTCTTCAGCTCAAGAAGCTTGTGTCTCCAGGACACATGCCGTTACAATGTGAGTGACTGCTCCGTGCCCACCAGTCCGAGCCTGAAACGGGGGGAGCTCCCGTTGAAACACGTGGGAAACGGGATGGACCGAAAGAGCTTGGCTTCACGACTCAGTCGAATCTGTCTCAGAATCTGTCACAGCGACTGACCTGTTTGGAAGAAAGGAACCAATCCTTTTAATTTGTATAGGTCATATCTATATATATATATCTATATATATATATATATTGCTTTGTGAAAGGAACGGGAAAGGACAAGGTGGAACGGCATCATTGATATGGCATTAGCTCAATCATGTGTAGCCTCCCAAGCACCAATGGTAAAGGAAGGTAGACGAAGACCTGTGGAGCCCTGGGCCCTTGAGCGTGTCCACACCCTGCGGTTCTGGCGTTGAGTCGGGCCGCACACAGGTGCAGGGGAGAGCTGCATGATCACTTGTGGCAATGCTTACGAAGGCGGCTCGCAGTGGCTGTAAAGGAAGCACAGATTTTCAAGCCGTTCTAGGTTGGTTTCAAGGTTTTGTTAAGTGGATATACCGGGCTGGATTCTATGCAGTGTTGGTTTGAGGAGCAGGGTCCAGCGACCCGGAAGAGTGTCTATGCGCAGGTCTTTTTGCGAGCAGTTTTTTGTCGAGGAACATGGTCATTCTTTTGGTCGTTTTGGAAACCCACTTTTGGAAATTCGGTGTTCATGGTCATCCAACATTGGGAGCCATGCCATCCACGACGATGACGATGATTGGCCATCGGGAGTGTGGATGAGACATGTCGTGTCCAGACCATCGACTGTAGACTCATCATGACTCATCATGACTCATCCGAGTAATTTTTTTGGTTCATCCGAGCAACACGTGAGCGAGCTCTCACAGTGCAGGGACGCGACTGCGACCGAATCCTGTCACATTCGACGCGAGCGTCCAGAGTTCGATTGCGCTGGGATAATCCATGGTGGTCTAGAACAAGTACTGTATAGCCAATGCTCCTCACTGATGCTGATCGTGACACCTCACACACGGTTTTTGCATGTTCATTCCTGCGAAAACATG